CTGCTTTGGCGAGGCCTCTTCCCTGAGCACCTTCTGACACGTCTGTGTCAGGCGTGACCATGAGCAGAGCCCTGGCAGTCTGGGCGTGGCCTTAACACAGGGCAGGTGGGGCACCTCAGGGTGACAGGCAAGGTCCTGAAATCCAGCCACAGAAGAAGAGGGCCTGAGGAAGGGGGTTCCACAGACCTGGAGTGTGTCCTAAAGACCAGAGAGAGTAACAGAAGGCCCAGGAGCCTTTCAGTACATATAAGGGCCATGAGAGGCCACCAGGAAGAGGGTCTTGGGCACTGGAGGAAGAGACCACAGGTGGGCCTTGGAGGGTGTCACTGAGGCTGGGGATCAGTGGGTGCCAGGGGACTCCGCCCTCACGTCTGGGTGGAGAGGATGACTTAAGACAGGTGAGCCCAGGTGTGGACTGGCACGTCCCCTCTGAGCTGGCACCACACCTGGAAGCGGGAGGCAGCAGGTTGGTTGGCAAAGAGGAAAAACCACCTGAGATAAGGGGAGGGGCTCAGAGACTGACAGAGACAGAGGGAGGGACAGGGAGACGGAGAGATGGAGATGGGAGGGGTGGGGAATGGGCACAATCCCCCAGAGACCTACCAGAAAACTCACACCTGCCCCATACCCATATGGAGTTATGTTCCTAAATTTGAGATTCTGATAAAAGTTATGAGCTTATTAAGGTGCTGGGGTGGCTCAGTCGGTTGAGCATCCGACTTCGGCTCAGGTCATGATCTCACGGTCCGTGAGTTCGAGCCCCACGTTGGGCTCTATGCTGACAGGTCAGAGCCTGGAGCCTGCCTCAGATTCTGTGTCTCCCTCCCTCTCTGCCCCTCCCCTGCTTGCACTTTATCTCTCTCTCTCTCTCCCTCCAAAAAACAAAACAGAACAGAAAAAAAAAAAAAACACAAAAAGAAATTTTTTAAGTTATGACCTTGTTTTCTAAAAATGCAAGTAGATATATGACCCAGCATCTTACACAACTTAGGGGGACTCATGAGCCACAGAGGCCCTGTGACCCCAGATAAGAAGGTACCTGGGTGTACTTTTCCCCCCACAGCTGCTGTAACAAACTCCACAATCTTATCGTGGCTTAAAACAACCCAAGTTTATTATCACACGGCTCTGCAGGCCCCGGTCCCACATGAGTCACGCTGGCCTGAGATCCAGGGGTGGGTTCCCTCTGGAGGCTCCGAGGGGAAGCAGATCCCTCAGAGCCGGTAGCTTCCGGATGAGCCCTTCTCAAGCTGTGTCCCCTGGTTCTCTCTCTTCTGCCTCCCTCTCCCACTTTTAAGGAACCCTGATGACATTAGGGCCAGCAGATGATTCAGAATAGTCTCCCCATCTTATCAGCAATTGTAACTCCACCCGTGACTTTGCCATGTGAGGGAACATAGCTACAGGTTGCAGGGACTGGGATGAGAACATCTTTGGGGCCATCGATCTGCCGACCACCACAGGTAAAGGATGTTATCAGATGACAGACAAGGTAAGAGCACACACATAGAAACGGGGCCCATCCAGAAAGGAATCAAAGAAATGCAAATTATCAACCTGAGACCCTATGCCTCAGTCTCATGGGCCAAGTGATAGGAAACAGAAAGCAAGAGGGATTTGCGGAAAACTTTTAAAAAGTCACCTGGCGCTCTGTCCCCTCCCCTGGCCACATAACCCTCCCACCCAGGGCCTTTGCACGCACCTTGGCCCCTCTCAGACTCCTGCCTTCCCAGGGCCCCGCCATGACCATAGCTGAAATTGCAGTGCAGCTTCCCCACCTACCCAGCTGTCCACCCCTGGGCTCTAGCAGCCACTACACACAGTACAATTCATAGCCACCCAGCTCCCCTGGAGGACAGGGTCCCAGTGCTGGAGCTAGAGGGGCAGCCCTGTGGTACAGCTGACTCCAGGCCTCATCCTTACCCAGAGCTAACAGGGTGCGTCAGGCCGGCCAACCTGGCCTGGGATGTCTGCTGGGGGCCCTCACCTGGGGGCCACCTCACTACCAGAGGCCAGAGCAAGGATGCCCACACACGGCAGTCTTGAAGTTCCCCTGGGGCTCGGTGGGCCACCTGTGCAAGTGTGGGCCGTGGTCAGACCCCGATGGAGCATGTGGCCCCCACAGCTGCAGCCTGTCCCAGCCCAGCCCCTCCAGGCAGGTACCATGCTGCACAAAACCAGACATCATGCACAAAATCAGGGCCTGGCCATGGAGGCCACAGGGTCAGCCTGACTCCCCACAGCCAAGACTGGAGAGAGGCGGGTGGCCCCTGAGTACTGGGGTACAGGGGCCTGAGCCCTTGGGGAGCCCAAACCAGCAGAAGGAGAGGTGTGAGGCCATCCCTGTGTGTCCCGCCGGGGATGGCAGAGTGAAGAAGGAGAAAGCGCTCAGGTTGCCTCTGGCACAGGAGGGCAGTCTGTTTACAGACTGCCCACAGATGTCATGGTTGACACAGCAGTGCTGAAAGTCTCTGTTTTTCTTGATCCCAGTGTCACCGGACAGGCCCAGACCTGGGGTCCTGCAACCGACATGCTCGAGAAACATGCTAAGAAAGGGTGTCCGCTGCAGCTGGGGCCAAGAGAATAAGGATGTCCCTTGCGGTCTGCTAGGAGGAGGCACGTCTAGGGCCATGCTGGGGTCCTGGTCAACCTGTGCAGGGGTCTGGGACATGTAGCTCTCTGGGGAAACATACAAGGAGGAGGTGAAGGCTCCCTACAAGGCCAGCAGCGAAAGGAAGGAAAGGGGGCCAGGCAGAGCCTTCATCCTGCTGGGAGGGCCTGCTTTTTCCTTAGGGCAAGAGGACAGGACTGCAGGGGAGACACTGAGGGTGCAGCTTGGCAGGAAGGAGGGCCTGGGTCACACCTCCCCTTCACCTTTGGACAGGGACAAAGAAGGGTGCCCACAGCTCCATTCCACATTGACTGGGGCTGACCAGAGCCAAGACAGGGACACTAGGCCAAGACCCTGGGGCAGAGCCACTGGTCAGCCAGAGGACCCTCCAAGTGCCTCACCCTGGCCCCTCAGGGCTCCACAGTATGGAGGCTCCCCTGAGGACAGACATGGGAAAGCAGGAAATCTGGTGTCACAGAGCAAGCTGGGGCACACAGGGAACTCAGATGGCTGCCGGAGGCCCCGGACAGCAGGAGGGCATGGCTCTCGGAAACGGTGACCCAGCCCCTCCCAACACCAAGCAGCCCTAGACCTCCAACACCAAACCCCACCACCACCAGAGCCCCCCCCCCCCGACTCTGGGGGGAGGACACAGGCCCCGTTCTCCCTCCAGGTGTCCAGCTGGAAGACCCTGCCCCGCCCCCGCCCAGAGCAGCTCTCACCTGCTGCCATGCACCAGGGCAGAAGCTGCCTCCACCCTGGACATCAGCACGTGGGGTTAAGTCCCCAGCTCCTCCCAGGCCCCCGTACTGACATAAGGAAGAAAGCCAGCCCTGAAACCGAAACCCAAACCCGACATTCTGGTTCTGCAGCACCTGCAAGCCCTGTGGCCTCCTCCAGTGTCAGAGTTAACACCCAGAAAAGCCCAAAGCATGAACCCAACAGCAGGGTCACTGTGGGCCTGGCTATCTGCTGCACAACATACTCCTGGCATAGAACATCACAGTTATTAGCCACAGTAGGACCTGTTCCCATCACCAACCCTGCTGCCTCAGGTTGTGACCTGCTGGAGCCCACAGACCTGAGCACACACCTGAGCTGGGGGCATGCCCGGGCCAGGCCACATCCACCACCCGAAGCACGGTGCTCAGGAGTGAGGGCACACCCACCCGAGGCAGGGAACACCTGGGCTAGCACGCGGCACCTCCCTGTGGCCACACAGTGTGCCCGAGGCTTGGGTGCAGCCGGCACAGAGCTCACTAACCAGTGTCCTCTCCAGGGTCCCCCCTCAGCCTCAGCAGCTGTTTGGGAGAAATCACCTCACTCACGCGGATGCAGGCTTAGATCTAATTATGTGGCACCCCAGTGACCCCAGTACTGGGATGAGTAGTGTCCCCCCAAATTCCCATCTACCCAGAACATGTGACTGTGAACTTATTTGGAAACAGGGTCTTCACAGACATAACCAACTAAGGTGAGGTTGTACTAGATGGGAGTGGGACCTAATTGTGGGACTGGTGTCCTTCTGAGAGGAGGGATTTGGACACAGGCACATAGAGGGGAGAAGGGGACAGAGCCTGGAACAATGCATCTACAGGCCCAGGGGCACCAAGGACCGGCAGCACCCAGCAGAAGCTGGAAGAGACAGAAAGCCTCCTCCCCTAGAGCCTTCGGAGGGAGCCTGGCCCTGCCACACCTGGATTTTGGACTTCTGGCCTCCATAACAAGGGGAGAATGAATGTTGTTTAAGCCTCCAGTCTGTGGCCGTTTGTTACAGCCGCTGCTGGGTACTAACTCACCCTTGAGAGTGTGGAGGTCACCAGCCTAGTGCAGACCAGCCCCTGGGGGGCCAGAGACTTGCCGCGGACTCAGGCATTTGGGGGGAGCTGGGTCAAGGGGCAGCATCTGGGTTATCAGGAAAGGGAAGGCAGAGGCTGAGGGAGGCGGGGGAGGAAGGAGGAGGTGCATGTGTTTTCCGAAGCCCGAGAGTAACAGCCGTACTTACAATTGGGCCCAGAATGAAAGGCCACGAGCGGCTGGGCTGCGGGGCTCCCTCAGGTGTGCTGGCCCCAGAAGAAGCCCTACACGGACACCAGGGAAGCGCGTGCACACCCCACAGGGTTGCAGACAGGCACACCGCTGCCAGTGGCCCAAAAGTGACCACGGCTAGCAAAACACAGTCTTTGAAAAACAAAACCAACCAAAAAATAAGTATTTGGCTCCGTAAATCTCCATCATAAGAAACCACTCAAAATGGTCCCCGAGCTTTGTACAAAGCCTGGTGCTGGGCATCCTCCAGGGGCTCCGGCCCCAGAGCCCTACCCAACACACCAGCCCAACACAATCCCGTCGGGTGCTTTGGAAACACAGCATGAAATGGTACACAAGGCATTTTAAGACACTGGAGTTTATTTCCTATGGACGTTTCTTTTTTAAAAAAAATATAATAACTTAGTTTGCATCTTACAACATTTCCAATCGGTCAGGGAGTCCTTGGCCAGGACCTCGTGGGGTCAGACGTGGCTTGTGCGCCGGGGAGCCCAGGTCCGAGCGCCCGCTGTGGCAGCAGCGGTGGCCACCCACAGTCACTCTGTGCCCATCTCGCAGGGGTTCAGGCCCTTCTCCTCAGCATCCTTGTACATCCTTTGGAAGTCCTTGAAGCGCGGGGCGCAGCCAAGGTGGGCCTCCCCGAAGTGTATGTGGCCCGTGAAGAGGAACTCCCCACGTCCGGGCCTCACACCGCACTCCAACAGCGTGGTGACGTGCCCCCTCCAGCCACCGCCCTCTGGGGCTGGCCGGAAGACAGTGCTCTTCTGCCGGTACAGCCGGTTCACGTGCAGGTGGATGGCGGACTCCTGCTGCTCTGGTTCGTGGGTGACGTCCTGGATGGAGCCTCGGACGACTACGGAGGCAAGAACACGGGAGTCAGTGGGGTCACCAGGGGTGACCCTGCAGGGGCTGGCCCTGAATTCTGCATTCCAGAAATCCCATTAGAAAGACCAGTTCAGACATTTGAGGCCCTCTAGGGGTTGTCCCTGCCACTCAGACTCTGTCAGGGATAACAGCCATATAAGTGGGGAGAAACAGAAGACAGAAGTCACATTGTGTGCATCAACGTCTCAAGTTAGAACAAGACACAACCGCAATTAACACACAACATCTACTGCCGCCCTGTATCCAGGCAGCTCAGAGGGGAGGGGGTGATGGGAGGGAGCTGGGCAGAGCAGGCCCAGGGCAAGGTCCCCCATCCTCCAGATGCAGGACCAAAACGTGGAAGGGAGCTCTGCACTCCCACCACACTACTGCCGTCCGAGCTGGAGGCGCTCAGAGCAGGGTCCAGCCGGGCTGCCTTCCCCCCCCCCGGGGGGGGCCCCCCCCCCCCCCCCTGCTGCCCAAGAGCAAAAACACGCAGCTGAGTCCTGATCTCAGCCCCGGGGCCCCCAGGCTCCTCAGACCCCCAGGACCAGGAACTCCTGCTGGAGCATCCACAGGGGCCCAGAGGAGAGCAGGACTCTGAGGTGAGGCTAGACCATGCCTTGGAGGAAAATGCTCAGTGACCACCTTGAACAGGACTCCCACCCCTCTCATCCGGCACAGATCTGTCCCTCCCCTATTACACCTCCAAGCCCAATGCCCTCAGCCGTCTCCTCCCCAAGCTGAGTGCCAGCACCGGAAGGCCCTCCCAGGCCCAAGCGGGGCTCTTGACGTGTGGCAGGAGCACGAGGACACTTACCGAAGTCGCTGGTGCAGACCGCCAACAGCACCTCTGTGTCGCTGCAGGGGCGGCACGGGGCTGCGGGGAGAGAACAGGGTTAGGAGTAGGGTCTGCGGGACACAGACCCCGCTCACACCCACCAGGTCCCGTAAGAGCTCTGACCTCAAGGGAACAGGACAGAGGACCCAACCTCGGCCACCACACGGGGGGCGGGGGCCGATGAATCCAGGGAACCCCAAGCTCAAGATGTGGCTATGAAGGGCGTGCACCGCACCCCGAGGGACAGTGGGCGTCCGTGCTGGTCCCCACCTAGCTTGTTGGCGCAGCAACTGCTGGGCCCCGGGGCAAACCACTCTCCCAGGCCCATCACCAACGGGAAACCAACCTGAGCTGGTCGGAAGCTACGTCCCCCACACCAGCCTGGCTGAGAGTCGCCTCCTTCCCAGCCTCCACAGCCACACCAGCCACCCACACAACACCTGTTCCCCAGGTCCCCATCTGTAGCCGAGACCAGAAGGTCAGGGCACTGGTTGCCGAAGGTGTCGGTGAGCATCGAGGGTCACGTCTGCAGGCCGAGGCCGTGGGGCTCTCGTCCAAACAAGTGCCAGCCATCAGCACAGCCCCCTTCCCCAGACCCCTGACCTCAGACCAGATCACGGCCTGCAAACACCGTCTACGGCAAGCCTGGTTCACAGAATCCCCAAACCCCCACAGCCTGGCGGGGCGAGGGTGGGGGCTGGCTTCCTCCAGCCAAACCAGGCCCCACCCCACTAACTTCTGCCCCAGCACGGCCCTCACCCTAACTTCCTCAGATTGGGTGAGGCCTCAAGAAAGGCGGGGGGGCACAAGCCTCTGGCAACTCCCCCCAGACCACGGCACTCCTAACCCAGCACTGGATTTGGGAGGACACAGCATGAATTGGCAGTCACACTGCACTTTTCAAGGCCTCTGCCCCCTGGCCGCTGAGTCTCTAGGGTCTGGCACAAATCCTCCCAGCTCAGGCAAAGGTTAGGTATGAAGTCTTGCTGGAATACGATCACCTTCTCAAGGCCCCGGAACGTCCTGGCTTTGGCATTTGCTGGCCCTCACACGCAAACCGGGTGAGCAGTCACCTGCACCCTGGCGGCAGCAGACTCGAGGCCTCGGGGGCAAGGCCAGGCACCGAGCAGCTAGAGCTCAGAGAGGCCTTCTGGGGCACGGGGCACAGGGTCTGTGCTGCCCTAGGCAGCACGGGGTCTCTGCGGACCCCAGGGGGTGGACAGGAGTTTCCAAGCACTGGCCCTGGTGGTCCTGCCCTGGGCAGGGGAGGATGTGTGTGCCCCAGGCCAGCTCAGGGGGACGTGACTCATTGGCCCACACACTGCCTGCCGCTTCTATCAGGTTCTCGGGAACCTGGGGAAGCTACAGGACTAGCAGAGCCGGTTGGGTGTGTTGAAGCCTGGCCAGCCTGGCCGAGGGGCTGTCCTACCCAGCTCCAAATCCCAAAGACTGCTGCCCACCTGGGGCACTTTGCTTCCATGTATAGACCCCCAGCCTCAAGGCCTCTCTTAAAAAAGAAGGCAGCCCACTGGGGGTCCCCTACCCTGCACACCCCTCCAGCGGCCCGCTGCCCACACACATAGGGCATGACGAGGCCGGGCTCTCCAGTTCTGCTCAGAGGCAAGGTCTAATTTCAGCCCCTGTGCCAGGGGGTCAGAGGCGTCATCCCGGGCACCCCTCATAAAGCATCTGCCCAGGAGAGAGGAGCCCCAGCAGAGTCCCTGGGGGCCAGGCCTCTAGACGCTCCAAGTGAGGGTGGGTGGGAAGCTCGGTCCACACAAGCTCTCTAGAGGCACATCTCAGGTTCTGAGTCGGCCGAGACAGACCACAGGCAGTGCCCACAAAGGCAGCAGTGGTACAGCAACAGGCCCAGGCCACACCCGGCAGTCAGATACCCGGCCTGGCGGCCCGCAACTCACCAAGCCCGAGAGCTTGACCCTCTCCGTGGACACAGGCCCGGGGACGCCCGCTGAGGGCTAAGGAGGAAGGCGGCAAGGAGCCTGTCCGGGGTGGCCACCTACTCACACCCCCACTGCACTGCCGAAGCTGTGGGGGTGCCTGGGGCCCCGGCGGAGGGCAGTCAGCAGCCCGCAGATCCTCCCACCAGAAGCCTCAGGGAGCCGATACCACCACAGCTGAGCTAATAAAGTGCCACCCTGGAGACTTCCCTCATAATTCTGAGTTTTACAAAGCACAGGTCACCTCATTGGAAAATCCAGTCTGTGGATGCCAAGAGAAGCAATCTGGAAACAATTATTAATCGGAGTTGGGCTCATAAAGGCAGTGAAATGTGCTGGTTTCGGACACACTGAATCTCGTTTCCTTGCAGGGGAAGGTGAGGAGGGAGCAGCCAAGAGCCCAGTTGGGTTTACAGTTCTTTGAGAGGGGTTGGCTGAGGTGTGGGCATCTTAGGGAGAGTCTTCCGGAATGTGCACAAAATGAACTGAAGAAGGAAAACACAGGGTCAGGGAGAGCAGCTGGGGCTACTGCAGGGACCCAGGTGAGGACGGCAGGTGCAGGCAGGAGGACGGGGGAGGGCAGGGGGGGAGGCCAGCACGCTTCATGCTAGGCCCTGGCCTGGGACAGGTCTGCAGATGGCCGCACGCTGGTCTGGCAGGAAGGACAACCAGGCAGACACACACAACTTCCAAAGGGAAAACTGTGCATGAGGACATCCACTGGGGTCGTCACTGCAGCCAGTGACAGGTGGCAGGTCTGGTGGGTGCAGCACTGCACAGGGAGGGGACACGGCCGGCACGGGGCTGGTGTGAGCTGAGGCCCAGCTGCCACATGAGGTTCTGGAGCCTCCTCCTCTTTCACCACAGCCAGCTGCAGGCCGGTGCCACCCCGAGGTGGTCAGCCACCGCGGGGATATCTCAATCTCCCCCACCTCTCCTCCTGGCCTGTTGCCACCCCACCCTGTTCCTACTGAGAAAGCAGGTGGATGCCACACACTTTCATCCCAGGAGTACAGAGATGGGCGAGATGAAAGATAATTACAGAAAATAAACGATCCTTTGGGGGGAAAATCTCTTCTCTCCTTTTCTGCTTCTAGGACATAATGAGGCTTCTTTCGACTTCTGCTGACCTTTGCCACTCATCCCCCACAGCCCATCAGGGCCACCACCAAACCGAGAGAGCTCCTCAGTGGGGGGCTCGGTACCCACCCAGCCCACCCCTCGGGCATCATTCACCACCCACCCCCCCCCAACACATCAAACACAGCAGGTTTGACCAAGGAAGGGGGATGGAGCACACTGGAAACCGCGTGACTCGGGCTACCGGCCAGCAATGCCAATAACTTTCATGCATTAATGGCCAGCACCATCCCCTCTCGCTGTGGGTCTAAAATGCCACTGTCTTCCCACCTCATCTGCTCAAGGAAGCCTGCTCTGGGTAGGCATCACATGGACCCCAAACCCCAAGCCCCAGAAGGTAGATGTGGCCAAGCCGGTAAGCCCCTGCTGTTCGGCTCCCGGAGGAATAAAAGAACAGACTGGAATCAGGGTTCCACCTGGGCTGCCCCAGGCAAACCAAGGAGAATGTTTGTCTCCACCCCCTAGAACCAGACAGAGCAACCCCCTGCCATCCTTCACTGGCCACCACCACACATCCCCAACCCTACTGGGCAACAGAGGGTCCTGGTGTGCCTGCTTCCCCACGTACACCAGGGCTCCGGGGAGGACGGCCCCCAGACAGCCCGGCCGGGTTCCAGGAGTGGCCTAGAGTTTCATCCATTAGTTAGCTGGATCTGGCCACTTGCCCACCTTTCGTGTCCTGCCAGAGTTTTTCAGCAACTGCGTTACTCAGATGCCCTGGTGAGGCCCATGGAGGAGGAGGAGGGGGAGGAGGAGGGCAGGGGAAAGGAGGCTCAATCCCGCACCCCCCCTCCCCCCCTCAGGTCACCTCCTACCACCCACCCCTCAATCTGCGCCTGTAAGGAGTGGCCTACCTCTCCTTTCTGGCCTTTTCTTGGGTGTCAGTGCATCTCAGACCATACCAGGAAGCTGGTTATTCAAGTGCACACCGGGCGACCGCACTCACTGCCAACACTCCCAAGCGGCACCGTCCGGGGCCGTGAGGCTCACGACACATCTCTCATCCGGGAGCCTCTCTGCTTTCAAGTCAGCACAAACTAGAAGCTACTGTGAGTCACCAGTGAGGGAGAAGGCTCATCCACCTCCGCAGCAGGCAGGATCACTTGACTGCCCAGCCCACAGGCACCTGCACACCTCCACGTCACAGGTGTCCAGCCTCCAGCTTCACCCAAGTTTCCTGCAGCTACGGCCCGGGCCAGAACAGGAGAGCGCCAGGAGCCACGCACTACCATCTGAGAGCCTGCCTGGCCCGGCAGACATCATTGCTGCCAGATGGCTGGCACCGACATTCCACATTACACACCCATTCCTTTGGCATTAAAGGCTTAGGAGCCCATCCCCTGATGAAAGGCAAACACCCCGGGGAGAAGGACGCACAAGCCTCCCCAGAGCCCCGCTGCCCCTCATCTCCCTCAGGCTGAGAAAGTGCTGAGCCCCCAGGAAGGGCCCAGAATCTGTGCCTGTTTCCCTCCCAGCTCCTAGAACCCCACACACATCTGAGTCCCCCACCCCCAGTTCTGACAGTTGCTAAGCTTCTGGGCTGTCCCAGGCCTGATTCCTGGCCAACGCACAGACGCACATTCATACCCCACTATCCAGGGGGTGCCTGGATCCCTGCAGGCGCCGGGTTTAAACAGACGCTCCAGGGCCCAGTGGGCATATGTCAGGGGTGGGGGAGAGGTAAGAAGGGAACCCCTGGGCCACCCAGACTGCCCAATGTCCAGCCACAGCGGAACGTCCTACATGGGGTCTCGAGAGATGCCCAGAGGGCAAGCAGAGGCTGTGACCAGACAACCCACCATCGTGCAGGACCTTGTCCCGGCAGCCCCACTGGAACCTAGGACAGCCCAACCACTGATCCCACAGGCCTCTCCCAAATCTGCTCACTGTCCTGGCCTGAAAACAGGGACCAGGGGAACCTGGGGTGCACAGACCCTGCCCACAAGGAGAGGGAGAGAGACTAAGTCTCTGGTCCCCGAGGGTGGAGCCATGGTCTCTGAGTCATCCCAGCCCATGGCCACCCTTGTGCATTTTCCTTCTGGACAAATGGAAGCGCTCAGGTGCCCAACAAAGAAACAACTGGCTACACAGGCAGCGCCAGCATCTGGTAAGAATGACCCACCAGGTGGAAGGCAGCTCAAGCCACAAGAGAACAGGGACCAGCAGCAAATATCTTTAAAGAGCCATCAACATTCAATCAGTAAGAGGCGTCAGTGGAGCATGGGACTCCTGATCTTGGGGTCGTGAGTTTGAGTCCCACGTTGGGTGCAGAGATTACTTAAAAAAAAAATACTTCAAAAAAAAAAAAAAAAAAAAAGAAATTGTTAACAGGTTTCTAACATCTGCTTCACTCAGCCACAAGCATTAAATTCAGTGACTGGGTTTTTCCAGATTTTGTTTTTACTATTAGTTTATCTCTAGGTCCCCTACAGCGAGGCTGGGGTACCCTCCTCTAGCTCTCTAACCCACCCTCCTATAGCTGGTCATCAAGATAAAGGCTGTTGTGGTTAAAATATCATTCAGGTCCTGAGATTTACAGCAGCTTCCAGTGCTACCTTTCCAAGTGGGGGTCCTACCCGGGCGGCTGGCACTGGGAGGGGGGTGGAGGTCCTACCCGGGCGGCTGGCACTTGGAGGGGGAAGGGGGTCCTACCCGGGCAATCCTACACTGAAGTTCTCCAACACACCAGTTTAGTTTGAGAGAGACTGAAGGTTTTGAAAACTGATCTGAGCCAAGAATGCAGAACGATAAAATGCAGATTCACATACAGGAGAAAAGTCTACATTTCAAATCCTAGCAGATCTGTTTTACTTGAATTAAACATCTCATTTACTAAAATGTGGAGAATTGTACTATTCTTGGAGACAACCCACCCCTCAAACCAGGTGTCTCTGCCTTAGCACTGCTGCCACTTGGGCCCGGGTCACTCCTTGTACTGGGACCGCCGCGTGTACTGGGGGTGGTAGCAGCATTCCTCCCTGGACTGCACCACTCAATGCCATGGCACCCCTACCTGCCCATCATCCGGGCCGGCTGGTCACCTGGAGAATGGCCTTCTTGGAACCTACTCACAGGACAATCCAAGCTCACACCCCCTCAACCAGAAGGCGCCTCACCACGACCAGCTTCAGGACTGACACAAGTGGTACACTAGGACCCCCACCCCACACACTTGGACCCCAGGAGGTCATCTATGCCTTCGAGCAAGGGCCACGCTTGGCATGGGTGTCTATATAAGACGAGGACTTCAGTCCTTGTTCATGGCACATGGGGCGAGACCCGCCCCACGCGAGAGCTCTGGGGCCACTCACTCCTCCTCAGTCTCTGTCTCTGGAACTTTTCAGAGACCAACGCCACCTTCCACACAGGGCCCTGCCAAGCTGTCTGCCAACTCACAGTCCCCACGTGCGCACACACACACACACACACACACACACACACACCCTTTGCTGCTGAGGGGACTCCTGCCAGCACCACAACGAGAAGGGCTCTGCGGTGGAGAAGGCTCCTCGAGGGCCGGCCTCACGGGAACCCCTGAGAGGTCCTCACTCACCTCACTAACCCGGGTGAGCTCCTGTGCCACCTGACTAGCTGCTGTTGTCTCCACTCCACATGGGGTGGCCCTTGTAACACCCACCCACAAAATGCCTCCGGAAGCTGGGACCAGCTCCACAATTCAGGTCAGCAAGGCTCTGCACCTCTCTGGAGAGTGAATCACCCTTGGCTCCCACCCAAAACTCGACGTGTCAGAGGCTGCAGCTGATGTCAAAAACACACAGCCAATCCACATATCAGAAGAAACACAGGGGCGGTGTGAACGGCCACAGCACCCATTTCCGATTACAGTCTCGAGCACAGAAGAGGAGCAGGAGTCAGGACCACACCCCATCATGGCTCTCAGGTCCGACCTATGGCCGTTCTCAGGGCACGTGTGTTCACCCTCCTCAAACACGCCTCCTGAGACTGTGTTGTTTCCCCACGTGCAAAACACCCACAACACTAACGGGGCCACACACGCCCAATGCCCATCGCACGGGGGGCCCGTCTGCCAGCAGCAGGCGGGTTCTCACAGAGACCGTGGGAGGGGAACACTGCCCTCCCCGCCCCGGAGGTTGCCACTCACCTGACTGGGCACGCAGGTCTGACTCCGCGTGCCGGCTGGTCAGCTCGTACTGGAAACCCGTGGTCCTCCGGCTAATGTCCTGCTGGGGCGTTGCCTCCACGAACAGGCCCCGCTGCTCGAAGCCAAAGCAGTGCACCTGGCGGGGCCCGCGGTCCCCGTCCCGCACCAGCAGCTGCAGCTCTCCAGTTTTTTCCAAATAAATATTGGCGCCCGAGGAGTCCCTGAGGGGCTTGATGCACAGAGTCAGGTGTCGTCGGGAGGGCGGGAAGGTGTTGGGCCGCACGTTGACGATGAGAGCCCCAGTCGGGTACATCCACTCCACAGAGCCCGCCGAGCACCGTAGGTACACCTGCTCCACCTCCTTCCTGTGGGCCTCGTGCGTCAGCCCGCTGCAGAGGGGATACGCGTCAGCCAGGGCCCGGCACCCCACATGTACCCGCCTGGGGGACGCCCACCCAGGTGCATGAGCAGCCCCTCACCCACACGCGGGCTGCCACCACCTCTGCCCTGCTGCAAGGGGCCGTTTCCAGGGAGCGACAGTCCCCTCCGGCAGGCCTGCCCCAGAGAGTCACGGTGAGATGGGCCCACGCCCTGATGCGCGTAGACAATGTTTGTCTCAGACCGTCTCAGCACCTCGACGCTCCATCTGCCAGCCTTCAAGGCTGCAGCACTGGGCGCCCATGCCCTTGGGGCTCCCCGCGTCAGGGTGGCGATGCATGCAATGGGGGAAGAACCACGGGAGGGGGGACCTTCCGGAACACGTTCAAGGACACACCAACAGGACTCTGGCACAAACCCGAGTTCCAGATGACCAACCGAGGGCCAGGAACGATGGCAGATTCCCACTGAGTGTGAAAACAAGGAGCGGTTCACTTGGTCCAAAGAGTAGCTTTGAAACCAAATAGGAATGTTAGCAGCTTGGGGGGGCTGGAGGTTGTCGGTGACTTTTGTCTTCAGCACCTCACAGATAGGGGCAAGTGTTTCCATTTGCAAACCTGAAGACCCTGCATTGCCAATCATATCTTTAAAAATAAACTCAAATATCATCACAGCAAATTACAAAAGGAAGGTAATGGTCCTCCATGGGGGAGAGGCATGGGAGGGAATGCGTGAACAAGCCACAGGAGAGAGATGCAAACAGTGAGCAGACCTTTCACCTTCCCGAGGGGAAGCTTCTGCCAAGTTAATCTCACTCCTAATAAATGCTAAATAGGAAAAAATGAAGTCTGTACACTCTTCGTGAGACAGGTCTTGAGTAAAGTCATTACGTTATGTTTTCAAGAAATTGAAACCATCAAAAACGTTAAAGTTTCCCCTACTCAAAATTTTAATGTGAATGTCAGCTTGTGCTGATGGTTACATCATAACCACCAAGCAGCCCTGGAACTCAACCAATGACTTCAACCAAGTGTTTTATTACATGAAATTTGGTTCTGATCGGATCTCAGACAGGTTCACCCACATTCTTAGGATTTTTATGTGTAATAAACAATGCTATATTCAGAGCCCAGGCCTGGGTGAGTTACCAGAAACCTTTTCTACAGAGGAGAAAACACGTAACATATGGTTTGCATTTACTGTTGGTGACTCATGCTCTGGGCTCCAAAAAACCTCACTTTTCATTCGATGGCCAGCTGTGGGCTGGGGCTACACAGTCATCCTGCAGACCACATCAGAGGGAGGTGTCAAGGAGGTGACCCCCCCCCCCAACCCCGCTCCCCGCCCCCGCAAGGCCCTGGGTCACTAGCAGCCGGCCTGGCCTCAGACGCCTACCAGAGCCACACACGCAAAACAGACTTACAAATTACAGTCAAATAAAACTCATATAAGCTCCTCTGACACATATGTGTGGACGAGCATAATTATAGTGCTGTGTGAAAAAATTAGACTAAATGGTAAGTGGTTGACACAGATGACTATAATCACCTCTGCTCTCGGGCAGCCAAAACAAACTTTATCACAGTGTCCCTCCTCTCCTGTCTCCAGCCTCAAGGGGCAGCTGGACACTTGCCCTGTGCCCAGACACCAATCCTCAAAGCTCTCTCCCCTAAAAACCATCCTGTCCAGGCTTCACTTTCCTCTCCGTCGGGGAGGGACCCTGGGGCTCAAGGGAAAAGAAAGCCCATACCAAAGGCTTCGGATACTTCTCACTAAGTCACTTTAATCCAAACAGTGGACAGGGAAACAGAGAGGTCCACCCCCCACCCATATCTTAGGCAAGGGCAGAGGGAACGCTTGTGGGGGACAGATGGCCAGACCATGGCTGTCTCCAGCCTGCACAGATGACCCTGTACATCTTGTGCACTACACCTGGCTCCATTTATTCGTAAGTCACTCGACTATAAGAGGACCGGGAACAACACGAAAGTGGACTTAGAAGAAATGTCCACCCTTTACCTGACGTCTTCACTGCCACCCAGAGAATTGTCTATGCCCATCCCAGGGTCCACGGCCAGCACGCCCCTCTGTTCTGCTCTCCCTCATGTTCTCCTGAAGGACTGAGATCAACAAGACGTGAGCCAGGCACTCAACACAGGAGTGTTCACATGAAGGTCGGTAGCATGTGATGTGCAAGACCGCCACTCAGATGCTCACCGACTCTGATCAGCCTGGGACCCCACTGAGCCTTTAATGAAAGAAATCAAGGACTCCGAGCCTGTCTGGTGCTCACCAGAACATCTAGCTAAATCTCTCACCTCTAGGTTTCCAGCACCACAGCAAACCTGAAAAAACTTCTGTTTATGCAAAATTGCTGGAGGTGGAAAAATGTGCCACATCTGTGATGTCACTGATGGTGGCATTAATGATTTTCACATGGCATGCAAGTGACACACTAATCAGGCAAAAATAAGATACCTGCTTTCTGATGTGATGAAGCTAGACAGAAAACACTCTGGTTCTAGTCACTCTTACGGAGCTGACAACACTGATTGATCTTGGGCTATTTAAACTAGATTCCTTTATTTCTCAAAACAACAACAACAACAACAAAGAGCCCGCCAGTGTCACTCCCCAGGGAAGTGTAGACACACCTTCAGGCAAAGGACAGCAAATTCCAAACCGACATGGGACTTTCTGCAGGGGTCAGTGTGGTGGCAGCAGGGTTCTTACTACTCACACCCACAGCCTGGCTCACCTGAGTCACCAGGAGTAAATTATGGTCTCTTGTTCACTTAAGTCAGGAAGAGCTTCGATCAAGGGCGAAACCCAGAGGTTATCACTGGAGTTACCTTTCATCTCCCCACCCAGTAGGAGAGCTAGCCAAGGTATGACAGACCCACAAACCCTGCCGACGGCAGTGGGAAGGTTCGTGGTCCACCTTTACAACCACAGCCTAATAAAGATCAGGGCGCTGTCCTGCCCCTGCACAAGGGACCGAGATTGCAAAACCTCCTGCTTAATTGCTTGGAAACACCCAGACACGCATTTCAGCCTGTCAAATGTGAGTGGCCAGTATCATAAAGAGCAACTCCCTCCCTATCAGGGGATCGGAACGCACCCAGGGTATTGGGGCTCACACCACCCTGTGCTGTCTTTAGAACAGCTCATAAAAAGTCATAAATGTTACAGGAGTCTGCAGGCAAACCAGCAAACCCAAGTTTCCACAGCAAGGATCTGTCAGCTGATCTGCAAGGCATATCGATCACTAGGGCAGCAATTAAAATGGAAGGGGAGCTTATAATCCAGGAATGTGGCCTGGGCCTGTCTTCCGTCCAGATCCCACTGGAACAGCCCCTGCAGCCACCCTCTGCCAGCAGACTCTGCCTTTGCGCTGAGTGGAGGGCAGCTGGAGGCAGTCCAAGACCCGGGGTATGTTAGCAAAGATGGAGAGAGGAGCGTCCCTGCTTCTCCAGGTAGGAAAGAGGAGGCAGACCCCTGCTTGGTCCAGGAGCTGGTTGGCTCTAATGACCAGCACTCACTCACAGCCCTCTCTGATCCCCAGGAGAGGCAGCCCCCTTCCAGGCACACAGTCCTCAGAGAGCCTGAAAGGGTGTCAGCTCCTCCTCTGGAAACTCAGGCTCCCAGGGTGGGACAGCCTTTCTGTTTTTGATCTGCTGAAGCAGGACACCCTAGACCTCAGTTTAGGGGTGCACTGATTCATCCAGCAGAAGCTGCAAGGCAGGGAGTTTAATTAGGAGCGTGGGGGAAAGGGCAGCCCTGGAAGAGTGTGTCAGAGTCAGAGGCTCCCAGCCAGCCCTGTGCTGGCGCCAGCATTCTGCAGGCCAGCCCTCCCCCAGAGCTCCAAGCTCGTGGCCCCAATCTTAGCAGCCCTGCATCCCAGCTCTGGTGTGCGTGCAAGGGAGGGAGGGCACCACAGGCCCGATCTCTGGAGCCCAAAACCCCGGCTTCGGCGGTGGGAAGTGGGGAGCAGAGAGCAGGGCGATTGCCAGTCTCCACAGAGAACTGGCTCCGTAAGTATCCAAGATGACCAGCGGCCGCCCTGCTCACACAGAGCCCAGCACCCTGGCACAACCCCCCAAGCTTCCCGGAAAAACTGTCTTCACTCAAAAAAAAAAACCCGTGACCCCCTCCCCCCCCCCCCCCCCACCTCCCGCAGCAGCACGAGGTGTGTGCTGGCAGGAGTCTTCCCATCAGGTGTGAGGGCGAAGGGCTCGGGTAAAGGCCCTGCTCCACGGAGCACCCCGACCCCGCGACCCAAGGGCAGCTCCTGCCCACAGAGTTCCAGAGAAGGAGATGCGCATCCCTGAAAAGTCCTGAACCTGCACCTTCCGCGGCACAAAACCGGCTTTTCCAGCTGCGAGCCGAGCCGCCTGCCCGGGGCGACAGCGCCCTGGGCGGATGGCGGTTTCTCACCAAAGTAGCTGTGCCCTCAGGCGCCCCGCCCGCGTATACTTGTGATTTGCAACTCCTTTCTGCTTGTCACACTTCAGTTTAAAAAAAAAAAAAAAGTCCTCGGCTGCCACGGCCGAGGGGCGTGAAGGGGGGCTCCCCGAGCCCAGCGCGCGCGCTGCCAAGGGCGGCCTGACCTTCACCGGGGCCGGGGCGGGGATGCGGGACGCGGCGGGCCCCGCACTCGGCCCGCGCACAGGTGTCCGCCCGCGGGTCTCCGCGCGCACGGGAGCGGTCGGCACCCCGGCCGGCGCCAGGGCCCCCGCTCGGTCCTCCGAAGCCCCCGCTCCCTCCCGCGGACCCGCCGGCCCTCCCTTCCCGCTCGGCCCTGAGCGCAGGCCCCGCTCCTCCCGCCCGGGGCGCGCAAGTCCTCGCCGCGGGCAGAGCCGGGAGGGTCGGAGAACCGACCTCCGCCCGCCTCCGATGCGGGGTCCGCGTGGGGCGAGCGGGCTGTCCGGCCGGGACCGACCCCGCCGCGCCGCGGGCGCACCTCCCTCTGGGCGTCCTCCGGGCCAGGGCACCGGGCCGCCGCGGGCTCTTTTGTTCTAGAACCGGGGGCGGGGGCGACGCGGACAGGACTCGGCCTGGAGAGCGGGCCCCAGAGTCCCCGCCCGGGGCCGCGCCCCCGCACGCTCGGCCGGCCGGAGCGGGGAGGGCACGGGAAGGGAGGCCAGCGGCCCCGAGGGCTGGGGGCGCGCCGGCGGACTCACCTCCCCTTCCAGCTGCACCGGTCGCTCGAGTACTGCGCGCCCGCGCCGCCCAGCAGCGCGCCCAGCAACAGCAGC